GGGACTAAAAACATGCGATTACTTATTGAAGTCATTTCTCTGACTTCAGTGTGAATCGTGGGTGAAACGAGTTTCAAAGCAGCACTTTTCTTTGTTAAGATCGTCACAGAAGGTATAATGCTTCAATTGATACTCACATTGGACTTTAACAAAAAAGTCAACCCATGCCTTTTGTAACATTAAAACTATGAGATGAATATATTGAAATCCCTGTTACTTCAGCTGTATCTTTCCTCTTTTTTTTACCCATTTTAAAACAAAGCACTTCACAACTAGGACCTTATCTCCTTTTCAGCAAAAGCATTACAAATACACTAAACTCATTTAAATAATCCCCTAATCTCCCAGCAGCACTCTCATTTCACAGCACACACACACACATACAAATAAAAAGGTTTTCTGTCTCCACGCACACACACACTCGAAGCAGTAAACAGCTCTCTTTCACGCTCTTGCACACTCGCTAACGCTCACATGTCTGGTCTTGGATGGTGTTTCAGGCCGTTGTGTTGTCTGCTTGACACAGATTCCACTCTACTTGCGTTGAGGGCGGTGGCTGAGTGGGTCTAGACAAGAATGCGTTGCGGCCAAAGTCTAATTCTTGTACACTGAATAGAAATCTGATCACGGCTCCAAATTGCCTTTCCGCTCCACCTTTTAGCGCTTTAACAGTTTCTCTCTAACAAATAACATCACATTTCACTCCCATCCACTGTGTCCTTCTACTGCACTTTGCCCCCCATCACTCTTAATATCCCAGTACTAGGTTGTTACCTTTAATACTGCATCATATCCACCATTACTTACTAAATTTAGCCTACATTGTTTCTCATTCCAGTGCTCTCTTCCTCCAGCTGCAGTGGATTCATCTTCATCCTCATCAGTCCAGTTCTGGATGTTCTCCATGGTTTTCCACACTCAGCCCATTAGCCCATTAGAATCTGCAGCAAGCTGTGCATTATTCTGGTCTCAGGGGCCGGGCTATCACTTTCACTAAAGCCAGAGAGCCATAGAGAATGGCATGTACTCAAGGCAAGGTGCCTGGCATGGCTTGTTAGGCGTGTCTCAAGCTTGAATGATTAGCAATTACGGCGTCTGGCTAAACTTCGCGGGGATTCGAAGTAGTCAGCACTTCTGTCCCATCAGATATCAGATTCAAGTTGTTTTGCAGCCAAAAGTGTCTGAGTGTTTATTTGATGCTGGACTTGACTGTGTCCAGGGGTATTTTCCTGCAGGAATAGAGGGTTTCTCTACGAATGAAATGCACCAAAGTAGGTTTCTCCAGAACGTAGCATTGCTATTCTCCATAGAGATATCACACAAGGTCAAGTGAAGTCACACTGGCCTTATTTATACCTGCCAAAATCTAACCGAGTTTATCTCAGGCCACTCTGTATCAAGTGGGTTTAACTGTCTGGTTTGTGAAATGTTAGAGTGCTTACAATAAGCCAGCACAGCTGTCGTATTCACATCTAGAGCTGAACATTACAAGGAGACTTAGCAATATGAGCCAATGTAAATGAATGAGACGAGCGTGACACACATGGTCATTTTAAAGCAAGGGCTGTGGTCTGTCAGCCATTCAGGAAGTTCGCTCTGGATGTTGTGCAGTTCAGGATTAGCGTTGAGTTCATCCAATGTTGGTGTGACCAACAACTAGATCGGAATTTTGTAATGAAGAACAAGTACAAACAAAGCAAAATCCCTGGAACCGTTTAATACATTTTGGTCAGTACGGAAGGAACAGCATGGACCAACGTCCAAATGTCAGTGATAAATCTTCTTGGAACAAGACCTATGTTTGCTACGAAATTTAAAAGAGCTGACTTCCTGTAAGGTTTGGGTCCAGGATATTTTGGTAGCTCCCCAAAGGATGCTTCCTCCCTTTCTTGCCAGTTTTTAAAGAACTGCATGCTGGGTATTGGCTACAACTGGGCCCAGTCCCAAAACTACTTTTTGAGGATAAGAGCTGACAGATGGAGAAGATTGAATACAGTACAATAAAATAATAAATAAATCAAAATACATTTATATAGTAATGTATAATAAAGTATTACGAAGCATCAAGTTAAACTTTATTCTGACAGGTAAATAATCTGCTGTGAAATACTGATAGGATGAAGGTTTAAGGATGTTTATGATCATTCATATTTTATGATTGACACATGATTTGACATTGGCCAAGATTTATCTGCTAACGTAGACAGAAGAAAGAATTATAGAAGCACATGCCCAGAGGCAGAAGACGTGTCCTATTAGTAAAGATAATCAGTGTATCTTTGATCACCATTAGAAGCTGCCTCACAGCGAGGTCAGAGCGCCACATGTACAGTTACAGTGTAACTGTATGCTGATGATCTGATTTACTCCTCGTAAGTGGCTACAGTTCTCAGTCTCAGGAAAAATACCATAAAATATTTATAGTATTTATTTTGGATGTATCCTTTGACAAGTCATCTCACATATGTAAAGTGAAATATTACTTAAATGTTTATGTATTGAATTATATAGCGCTGTTTGAGGTAATCAGTATCAGTATTTAAAAAAAAAAAAAACTGCTGTGATAAACAGCTTTAATCGATAAAAGCCAGTTCTGTGAGGAATGTAGGACACACATTTTAAAAAAAACAACAAAAAAAAACCAAGTTGAATATTCAGAGCCAATATGACGGTGTGTGATGTCTGCATTAACAGAGTTACGGCCCCACCATCATCGGTTGCATCACATCCCAACATCTGAAGGGTTGGTGCATGGGCCCGGCGAGTGTTTGATGTTCTCAGATTGATAAAATCTGCCCTTTTCCACTGAGCCTAGTCTGATTAGACATCACACACACACACACACACACACACACACACACACACACACACATGAAGAACATTTCATCTCTGTCTGTTACATCTGTGTACCTCCACACATGAAGCCCTCCTACATACCTCTGTTGCCCTCCAGCTCTTTGCCCTGTTACCCAGGCAGTAAAGTGATGGATTTGTTATCCCCAGACCTTTTGACCTCCCCTCTGGGCAAACACTGGCCAGACTGTGAATGACATTAAGCCCTCAGCTCCCCTTCTTCTCCCCCCTCGGATTTCACCGCACCTTTACTCCTTAGTCACCGTGAGCATACAGTAAACTGGATACGCAGGAGGAGGAAGGAGACAAATTTGAGCTTACATAAATCACAACATAAGCTTCAAGAGTAGAGGCTTTATTTCAACAGGGATCAGACTGATGACAAAGTAATGGCTGGATTTCTGAAGCTTTTTTTTTTTTTTGTCCTTTTCGTTCAACGCCTGAGGATTTCTAGAAAGGAAACTCTAGGAAGAATGGACAGGCCGCTGCAGATATCAAAAGGACTGTAGTCCACCACAGCCAACACTTTTCTATTCTTGGTCATGTCTTACAGTAGCACATTACAGCCTGGATTCTGGCCCTTATGCAGCAGCAGCACAGCATGTGTGATACCTTAAAACAACTCCTTGTACATCTTGCACAGTTTTCCTGTGGCTTGCTTGCTCAGGTTTTCTGAGTCTCCAAGTCCCCGACTCTTATCAATGTTACAGTCAAGTCATTTTAAAAATATTACCAGGAAAAAAAAATCATTCTCCTTACTCCTACTGTCATATGCAGCAGATCAGGAGATGCAGAAATCCTCCTGTCCGTCTTTACTATGTCAGTTCGACACAAACTCATTTCCTGCGACTATTTTACGACTCGCCTCGTCTCCTGCTGCACGTGCTTGTCGACATGCACCGAGATCGTTCGGGCTATTGATAAAGAGACGCCATTGATGTGTGGTCGAAGTGCCCCAAAGTATTTTCTTCCGTGGAAGTTAGAGGTGGCTGTTTTGACAGCAGATTCAGCAGAAGGTAGGTGTCGGAATGCTAATGCAAGCCGGAGCAGTCAGCAGCTCCCTTTCATCTGTGGGGAGCTGCAGAGCTGAAGCACCGGAGGTGAGTTGGCATTTTGGAACAACACAGGGCAAGAACCTGAGGTGGTGATGGGTATTTTTAAAAGTCTCACAACAGCTGCCCGTTTATGTCCGTGTGAACACGGTACGAAGTATCTAAGCTTCTTTAAATACTAACTGTAAAGTTGTACTGTGTGTGAATATGCATTATAATACCTAGAGTACGGTCTAGTTAGGTTTGTCATTTCAGTGTAACACTCGAGTCAATTATAAAGAGCTTTCTGTTTTAATTAGAAACACCGATATATATATATATATAGTTTTTGGTGGCAGCTGTCTGAAAGGTGTGTTGTTGTGCGCAGAAAATTCAATTATTCCCGATGCTGGAAAAACATTAAATAAAGTAGGTCAAGTACGTACAAAAATAACCAAAATGATTCCGCCTCGCTCTGTAGTAATTCATTTGCATTCAAAAGGAAACAAAACAAAAGGAAAGGCAACAGCTACAAATGAGCTAAATAATCACGGAACGAAGGGGGAAAAAAAAAACAAGGAGGAAAACAACATACAAACTGACACGGAGCTGTAAAAGAGCAAAAAGTGAAAAAGACAGAAAAACAGTGATTTTTTTCGTCTGACTTACCGAGTCACCGTCAGAAAAGCTGCAGGTGTGACACCTGAACACTTATCATTATCACTGTATCCTAGATTCTCCCGGTTCACTGAAGGCTTCTTCAGGACAGCATATTGAGGTCAAGGAGGATGTCGTCCTGGCAGCGGAGGCTGCAGGTGCGCCCGTACCCCAGGTGTGCTCAGCCAAAGACGAGCTCAGAGCCGGGCTCTCTGTGGGGGGAAGAGAGAGAGAGAGCAGTCGACTCAGTGGAGACGGTGTCACAGTGGCAGGTTTACTCAGTCTTATCCAGTCGATGGTCACACACTCACACACACAGTCGCTGTAGTTCTTTACCGCAGTGTAAACATCATTATAAGCAGCACTAGCTGTCTCCCAAGAATCAATGTTCACGTCGTGGCCCAGTTAGGGGAATAGCTCGTTACATTTCCTAAATGTTCTCATCATTGATCGAGGCCTTGAGTACTGTATGATAAATGGCCTTCTGCTGTGAGGTAGACACTCGACCACACAACGACTGACGGCACGCTAACGTCGTATTTCAGCGCCCGACTCATTGCTGGTTTTCAGTTTTTTTGCACGCAGGCTGAAGTTGACATTGTTCAGCATGTGTTAACATTTTCTTTTGGCTTTTGTGTCTGTGAAACGAATTATTTTAAAGATGTCAACTGGAATCCAAGGCCACGCTTTAATAATGCAGCGACAAGCTAATTAGACGTTCCAGGAAGTCGGAAAGATTTAATACCATTAGATTCCAAGTCAAACAACTGAAGCAGTCCTCCCCAGATTTAGCAGAGTCTAACGAGGCTGCTACTGTATGTGCAGACTGTAGAGTGACGTAACTATATAACTTAACTATAGCCGTTTCAAATTGCATCAACGGTATATTGTTAAATATTGTGTGAAAGAGCAACTTCCAGGCATTGGTCTCGTCTGTAAAATTGTAAAAAAAAAAGGAAGACACCTGGTAAACAATGGTATTTGTGGTGAAAATATCACTAAAATTGTGGCATTGTCTCTTTAGAAAAAAAAGCTATTTACTGTTTAAATCAGCAGAAAAAATATAACACCACATTCACATTAATCAAACTAAAAATATGACTCCAGCGAGGTAAAATAAATCTAATAAAGATGTTATAAATAAGATATAAGATCTTTTTTTAATAAACCACCACAGGGATCATAAGATGGAGACAAATCCAGTGGCAAAGACGGAGGTCAAAACTGTGACCTTGGAAACAATCGTAGTCTATCCTGCATTATTCCAAACCTTAAAGCCACATGAGAGTCCTTCAGCTGCTGAGATCGTGAAAATTTTGGTTTGAAGTTTGGACCAAATTTCATAACAAACATTTTCTTGCAAGTTTTACATTTTCTCATTTTTGCAAACTCCAGCAGTAGTTTTGCATATTTATTAGATTTTTGTTGAGTTGTTTTTAATGCTTCATTCTTTCTTTTTTTTGATGATTTATGGTAGTGATTCATCCTCTCGTTTAAATTTGATAAACAGTTGCACTCTTCAGGGGAGGGAGGAGGTGGTGATAAAGATAAGTGAAAAAAACATTTGCAGCTAATGTGATCTTTTATGTAGGAATGAATGTTGATCAAGCAAACAAACAAGATGGAACACAGAAATGGACTGAGGCCACCAGGGGGCCGGGGAGGTGTCATAGAAATATACAGTGAAAATGAAGCACAGCAGTGCTAATTATATACAGAGCCACAACAGTACATATATATGAGCACTGAAGCAGATTATAGTAATTATGCAAAAAAAAAATTGACGCAATTATGCTATAATCACTCTGATTGGGTCGACAGCCTGGTGGTCACATGACTAACATTCTGCTCAAAGCAGATGGCCGTTGCTTTTATTCTTCTGCAGAAGGAGAAATCTGCAGGTGAAGATAACACTTTGTCAAAGAAGCTGGTGTGTGTATTCCTCTTCTCCAACACACCTCCACGCAGTGAAAACTTTTTGCCCTTTTTGCTCAAATCACAAAACTGCTTTTTTAATCACAAAACTGCTCAATGGAAATAATAATAATAATTAAAAAAACCCTAGTATTTAATGTTTATTTTTTGGAATCCAACCACGGGCCAAATTGGACAGTTCAGTGGGCCGTCTTTGGCCTGGGGCATAAAAGTTGCCAAAAATACATTTAAAATGTTTAATGAAATTGTCCAACAACTGCTGTGAACCTGACATTATTTGCTTTCTTAATAAGTGCTCGCTGAATGGCACTCCGCAGCAACGGCAGCCTAAAAACATACGAACGAGTCACATGGAGCGGCAGAGGCCAAGCAAACGTGTTCTTTTACAGTTATTAATGATGATGCTGCCCCAAAAAATGCCTCAATTACAGCCTCCCATTTGTATTTCATACAAAAAGATATAAATAGCATTAGAATAGAAAAGATGATCAGAGAGGATTTTTGAAGTATGACAGAAAATTTGAGTTTCACAGACGCTGTAATGAACATTCTCCTAAGATTTCTTCCGAGTGGTGTCAACTGTCTTTGTTTGTGATTCAGATTTCTACAGTAACTTCAAGTTTCAAGTCTATAGTTTTGTCTAGCCTTTGGGGAAATTGCTTTAAACTTATTATAGGATTATGGGATTGTTTGTGGTTGCATAAGCTACAACATTTTCATTCTGATTAATCAGAGAGGAGCTAAAAATGACAGATTTTTTTTTATTTTTTATAAATGGTTGATGGCACAGCAAGATAAATAACAGCAGGAAGATGAATGTCATCAACACCTGTTTTCAATACAATATTTCCTCCAAATTTAGCTCCGTGGAGTTGAGTTACATTACATCCCTAACAGTCCATTTGACAACCGTGTCAGCCCTGTTCTAACTCACAGCCCAGACCGTTGACAGAAGCAGGTCGACTGGGCCGAAGTCGAAGCCTCCACAAAAACGCACGCTGTGAGGAGGTAGAATCAATCAATCAACTACGTTTTAGAATGCGTAAGAAAAATGAATGGGACTGGTGCCATAAAGTGTTAAATTATTAACTTCATTTTGACGGCCCCAGTATACCCTGCACATCACTTGCGGTAACATACAATTTTAAGGTTAAATAAAAATTGCGTCTCCCGACTCTGTAAAACACAGTGACATCATGCTGAGAGGAATGTCTGGCTGCAATACATCTAATTCTATCACTATGCATAATTTAAAACGCAGGGCTATTTCAGGACAATGAGGAAGTTGGCAAGACCAATGGGCAGAGTGCTGGCCAAGTGAATCAGAGCACAAGACTGATGATAGTAACGACTGCAATTATGCAATAAAAGATCGATCATTGTGTGCGGGTGTGTTTTATTTTTTTTAGCGAGTGAATGAGTTTGTGTGTATTTCACTGATCAGAAATGTGAAGTGTGAAAAAGATCTGGTGGATTTTGCACAAAAACGCGTCATTGAAAATGACATTTCAACATCATTTTTTAAACGTCAACACAAACTTGTTAGTGACTTGAAAAAAAAATCTTAAATCCTCTATGTTCACTGACTTATTTTTTTACAATTTTACTCATCCAAATATAAACAGGAAGCTGTAAATATTTCAAACTGTTCCATACATTTATGCCTCGTGTGAATATCTGTACATACATAAATGCCTGGCACTCATTACTATACACATATATTTATGCCCTGCACCGTCCATCATTAAACTTTCATGTTCGGTGATTCTGTCACGGGGTGACACAGAATCGGAGCTGGGAGGGGTGTTTACCCACGTGTTTCATATATCTCTTAGAAGGCACCTCATGTCGACCATGTTGGCATGATTTATAGAGTTCCCTCTGAATAAATAATCCATCTCAGCACTGAGGGAACGAGGACTGGATTAGAAGAGATGGAAAGGTGTGCACAGAGGACGGAATGAAGAGATATAAAGAACAGGGCTGAGGCTGTGGGGGAAGAGGAGAAAAGTTCCGAAGCGGTCGTTCTACCTTCCTCCAGATTAGATTACTTACTAGCGGCTTACGCTCTAATCTATCTGTGCAATAAAATAGGTCTGGGTTCAAACGGTTTCTGTTGAACTGCATTAGTTAATGTTAACCTACTGTGTCATTGTGAATCGATTAAAATCCCACACAAAATAGTATATATTTTATAAATACAGATAGTATGAAGAGCAGTAGGCCACTTCCTTCTGCTAAGACACCTCAGGGTCACGGGGCAGCATCACTCCAGCGTCCCAGCAAACAAGGACGTAGTAAACCTTGGACTGTTTCCCAGTCCTTTACAGAGACAAACAACCAGACTCAAACTTAGTGTCCAAAGAACCTAATACTTCATGTTCCTGGACTGGGAGAGGAACCCAGGGCATCTAGAAGAACCCTAACACCTGGGTAGAACGTACAATCATTATTTTCCAATGGCCCTTGAACCTTCGACATTACATAGAGTAAGGCAACAGAACTATCCACTCTACGATCTAAGCCCATGTGTTAGTTTCAGTGTAGGGACGACTGTCATAGGAGACGGAGCTCCTGAACTTGACATTAAATTGTATTGCTAATAAAACAACATAGTCCCAATATAACCATAACGACTGAACAAGGCGAGGGTCAATTTATCCTCAATTGTATGATGTACAATGGTGGGGTGATAACAATGATGCAGTTATAAGCCTGTGCTAAACCTAAACAGAGAACCATCTGTGCAAAACTTAAGATAATAGTGTGGGAATATCATTCAGAAACATTGTAAAACATGATTTAAAATTCCATTGATTTGACTTTGAATGGAAGGAAGAGTTTGAAGTTTGTCTTCATTTTTAGAACAGATAAGCCGTGCTCCATCAAACTCTGCGTTCTCTTAGGTTACTTCGAGTTTACTGCGGCCTCTGACAGGACGATGACCAACATTTATCACAATCTGCAGTCCATTAAATGGCAGTGATTCACACACGGTGGACGTTAAATTGTGCAGAGGAAGTAATTACACAGTTTAACAGCTCGACACAACATCGTAATTCAGTTACGCAGACTAACTTCTGTCTTGCGGGGACGGACAGAGCGACATTATCTTCTACAAACTGAACATCTCGCCGCAGACGAGATGAGCGTTTGTGAAAGTCCTGACGTTCAGTTTTATTGCACAGTGTTAGCAGGGGCTAATGACACATTAGCACTAACTCCGTCGACTGTGCTGCTCAGTAAGGTCAGAGTACATAAAAGGCTGAACTCTCTC